GCACTTCCCTAGTATTTTCAAGGCCCTGGTTCCATTCTCCTAGCATCCCTGCCATAAGTAAATTGGGCTGGGGGTATAGCTTGCTGAGTGGTTATGCTGCTTGCCCATGGTATGTAAAAAGCATGTGGCTCTGGGTTCAATGCTCACCACCACCACCACACACACACACACACACACACACACAAGTTGTAAATGAGGCTATTTCTACCTCTGAAGTTAAAATATTTCTGAAAAATCACTTCTACACAACAAAAACTTCAATTTATTTTGTGTATTATTGAAATACTATGTGATCTTTCCCTTGATTACTACACACACAACTCAGGGTTATCAAGTATAGCCTTCAAATCTAACAAGCAGTAGTCCAAAGTTATCAATCACAGAAGTTCTGGTTTAAGTATCCTGTAACTTCTCAGGTCTATGTTTAAATCACGTTATTTTGCCAACCTTACTATTTATTCAACAATCCCAACAAGATGCAATAGGCAGATTTTTCCTTACAATCTCTACTTCATGCCAATCTTAACCTTTCCCATAGGATCAGAATGATTAATGTCAATGTACCTTGTAAGTATTAAAATAGAAACAATTACCTCAAAACAACAGAGTATTATACTGTGTACTTTGGATGGATGAATATTTCCTTTAATAGTATAAAATTGTGAGCCTACTGTAGCAACAGAATAGAAATGTGGTCATACCTTTTCTTCTGTTATCTGCTTCAGCCTAAAATAACGAGAAACTGAAATCTCAATTAAGGAACCAAACAGGCTGATTTTCACTCACACTCCAAACTATACACCGGAGCATTAAACCCGTGTGTTTTAAGACAGTTCTCCAATCCCTTATCCAAACTTGAGAGCAGATGTATGAGTTCTAGCTGTTTGTACTTTTGTAAAAGGTATATTATATGTACTGTTACATAATGCCCTAGGCAACTGGGTGATGATTAATCAAAGTACACGAATTATTTCTGCAGGAAAAAATGCTTAGTCACACTAAGTGCAAAAGGCAGGCATCAATTCTTGTCAGCTTTTACATTCTACTGGATCAACAAAATTTTTATTCAGGTTAAGATTTCAAAATAGTGGATAAGAGATTGTGAATCTGTTTTCTGCCTTTGTATTCACAGTGATAAAAATAAGGTAAGCCAAAAAATGGTTACAACAGAACTTCAGTCTAATACTTTCTGACCTTTTAATACTATTTATGGTATACATACATATATATAACTTGTTTCATTTGTAATTACAAACTGCAGATACAAAGCAAAAAGCCACACATAAGAAATTCACCTTGACCACGGAAACCTGAAAATAGCACCAGCCCTAATGAAAACATTAGACAAAACTGAGAAAAGTTGAGGTTCTAGAATTAATCATATTGAACTCAAGCACTAAAATGGGTTGATTTATGAACATTTGAAATTTATTTAAAGTATAAAACTTAGGGAAAACATTTTAAGTGAGGGAAATATTCACATTCCAAACACCAAGTTAAAAAATATTAGCTTTCAAAATATAATTCAGATCCCAAACAATTAGGAATCAGAAAATTGGTCTTACCTTTTGTTTCCAGTAGAATGTGGGCTGAACAGCAAGGTAGGTTATTCAATCTGATGTTATGAATAGTAACTGCTTCTTAAAGTGCTTTCTTGGTTAGAAAATAAACTATTTATAGATTCCTTACAATATTATAAGGGGACACAGAAGGGAAAAATTCAAGGTAGCCTTTGTAGTTCCAAGAGGGTGTGACTTTTTCTAATTGCCAATATTGGTAGAGGTCATTTCCTAGGACTAAAAATAACATTTCTAGTTTCTGTCTGGTCACTGAACTACATAACCTGTGCTCCTCTACCTTTCAAAGTATGCATTAAGTCCTCTCAAATCTTCATTCTTAAGCCTATTTAACAAAGATCACCTTTCTATCTCATTTCAATCTTGGGTTGAACTACTAAAAATTTTAGTACAGCCTCTCATTTAACTTAATAGACAACCTTGAGTAAAGGCCATTTCGATTTTGGTCCTATTTCCAAACATTCGGTGAACATAAATGAAACCAGGTTTGTACAAGTGTAGAAGTCTTATCTATTAATGGTATTCTGCACATGAGACTTAAAACTTCAAAAAGCATGGCATGTATAATTTTTCAGAGTGTTAAAATAGAAAATCTACAATTTTGGCTCATATTTTGAATTCCTACATTACTACTTAATRTAATGAATCTACAAGGAATATTTTTCAAGTAAAATTCTTATTTTGAACCTACTCCTTTCAATCAGGTAATTACATGTGACCTTATACAAATCTCTTTTGCCCATTTCTTCCACTACAAAGATTATGCCTGGCTTTCTCTGTTTTAAATTGTATCACCTGAATAATCCTTTTWAATTCATCTTGCAACTATGATTAGCAACCAAGGAAAAAGTTAAAAGATCTAGCTATTTCTTTTGGATTGAGAAAAGAGTGGTTTCTTGGTAACTATGAGGAAATCACAAGACCAATAATTTTAAGTAAAACTTCCCTTCCTATACCCAAGGAAGTTGAAACTTTAACATCAAGGGGCTCTTTAGTAAAAGTATTTAAAAAACCCAAAACTTAGAGAATTCTAAAGTTTGGAGACAGAACAAACTATGGTCAAGAAGGGTTTACAGGTGAAGATTCACTCAAATTAGCAGATAAATCCTTTAGTGCACTGTTCACATCTCAAAAAGGAAAGTCATTTTGTTGAGTTCTAATACAACTGTGTTAAAGTTAACATGTACTACTCATTAATTTTAAGATAAGTCTCATTGAGAATCTCAAAGGCTATCTCCAAGCTGATATTTATCAACCAACCAATTTTACACAAACCTGTGTTGTCTAAATGGTCACCAAAATAAGCAGTATCTAAGTTTTAAACCATTTTAGCAAAGTATGCAAAACATCTTTTAGAGACTAGATCATAGCCTTAATTGCCACATTACACAAATTTCTCCCTTATTGTCCCCTTAAGACTGTTACATAAATTAAGATAGCTAATACCATTGAGATAGCCTTTCAAGAACTTTTAATTTACTAACATAAGCACAAGAGTCAGAATCTTACTAATATAAGAATTAACTGATAAGAGTTAAAATCTTACATGAAGAGGAAAAAGGACAACCATGCATAGTTTTTTAAAAAATGTTTATTTTTTTCAAAGAAAAACGGCAATAGCCAATTGGAACCTACTTATTCTTCAACTCCAATTTTGTTTTCTTTAAATTTAGAAGTGACTTACTGATTTACTATTTAAACAAACCCCCCCTTTCCCCTTTCAATGTTTACCATCTACTCGTGCTGAATCCTTCCAAGGAGATTGCTCCAGCGTATATCTCCAGGTCCTCGCTTTGCTCCTTTTACCAAAAAATGCAAAACACAATTCCATCGTGCATCTTAAGGGCTCCAATCGTCAAAAATAGGAAAAAAAAAAACCTTTGGAATAGCCAATTAAGTTGAATAAAAAATCCACACGAATGCGGTTTGGTTGGGGCAGGAATCCACTCCTATGTTCCTGGTAATCTGATCCCGCTCCATGAATCCTTGTAATTCATCCTCCCTATCCTATCCACATTATGATTTGAATCCAATGATCCAGCTCCAAGGATTGGGATCCAGTGAGCCCTCTCCAATCCAAACCTTTATAACCAGCAAAACCAAAAAAGAGGAGGCAAAATGTTAGATACTGTAATCAAAAAAGGTTTCTGGGGAATGATGAGTTATGTCTGTCATCAGTTTAACAGATGTACATCAATAACTATCAAATTCCCCAAAACAAGTTTCTGAATGGTGTTCAGATAAATTTTAGAAACTTAATCATCATAGAGACTAATTGGAAGAAGCATTTTATATTTACAGTTCAACTGATAATGCCAACACTTGTTACTGTACAGCGTATTACAGGTTTTGTGGTTGCAAAAAGTTATGTAGTTGAAAAGTTTACTGATATTGTTACCCACCTAAACTAAACTAAATCTAACGCTCCCATCTGCAATTTAATTTGTAAATTAAAGTGTCTTAAACATGAGTCAATTATGAATATTAGTTTAAAGGGGAAGGTGAGACTTAAAAGTACTCCCAACTAGATTATCTACACCAATACATTGGAATTCTATATTTTGCTTTCATTTTGTCTTAAAAAAAATGAAATAGCAACGCTCTTATCAGTCACACAGAGGACATGCAGATTTAGCAGTATTGATATTATACTCTATCTTGTTGGAATTAAAGACACCCTGTACCCACATGTACACCAACAGCAGGTCACACATTAACAGTTGTAACTAAACACTGTGACAAATTAGCCAGTTCTTCCCACATTAGTCCCTATTAAAACAAAAAAGGGGGGAAGGGAGCAAAATAAATTGTTACAAAATGGGCGATGTAATTTTGCCACAATTGCCAAGGTTTAAAGAGCAAAGCAATTGTAGCTAAAGATACCTGCATCAGATGTTTGCAAGTTTTGAGATATATATATATATATAWAAAAATCATTTTTAACCCTTGCCTTTTAGTATAAGGTCAATACTGCCAATTTCATCTGTGACAATAGCACTTGGAGTCATACCATTGCCTCCATTATTGATCTGATCCTCCTCAATCCTCCTTTTGACAATCCTAAAATGATTGAAATGTGCTCCACAATCCTTAATCCAAAGCATTCTTAATCCATCTCTTCAGATATGTCTACAGAAAGACACATGAAAAGCAAGATAAACATAAGAACTTCCCCAGGAGAGATAACCACAAACACCCCCCCACATCCCAGTTCACACAAACCAGAGCAGAATAGACATTTACACAATATCACAGTCTGAAGAGCATGGAGAGTTAACTAAATTTAAACAATCCTGTCTATGACATCACTTAAAATACAATTTATCAAAGACATGAGGGGAATGTAGATGTTAGGAGCAAGGGGATATTACACAAGAATGCAATTCAACACTTTAGCCCATTCTGAACAAAACAGTTTGAATTAAAAAATGAAAAGATTGTACTGAGTAAAGGAAAACTGTATACAACATGGGTGCTACAAAAAGTGTCACCAATCATCTTATGTACGAGAGCGAGATCTGCTATGACGGGGAGAATAGCGTGGTGATCCTCTGCTTCTCCTTGGGGAGTAACTGCGACTCCTGCTGTTGCTTCTGCTACGGCTTCTGCTACGACTACGGCTTCGAGATCGAGATCTTCCATAACTTGGACTTCTGGGCCCATCAACTTTAACCCGGATGTAGGCAGTTTCTCCCTATTGGATAGACAGAACTTTCCATTGAAAGATCTAAGCTTTCACCTATCTTCAGGCATGCTGATTGAATACAAAGTAACTAAAACCAGATATCTGGTAATTTAGGTGGACGCCTTTGCCTGAATCCTTACCTTCAAATTCCACTGTTAAGACCACTGTATCCAATCTGGCCAAATAAAAGAATAAGTGTATAACCTACCTCATGAGATCTAAACTTAGTGTTATCCAGTTTTCGAACTGCATAGGTCATATCTTCTTTCCGTACAAACTCCACGACACCAGTGCCATCTCGGTAAACATCAGCATAACATACATCACCTGCCTCACGCATGTGATCCTTTAAATCCTGCCAGCTTCCACTTGGAGGCAGTCCTGAAAAAACGATTTTTCCCTTAAAACCAATTACCCTAAGTTTTACGTTAAAACTTATAACATATATTAAAACAAAGATTACTTAAAAATGCTTAATGATTGTACTTAAGTGATTCCAGGTAAAGAGCTGGTAAGATTCTGAGATCCAGAGTCCAAATTTATTTGTAAAGGATCTTCATATTCTAGAACCGCAACCTAATTTGGGCAAATCACCACCACAGTAATCTTTATTTACTAAATTCACCCAAAAACCGAAATAATTTTAAGGCCCAGAATGAACAACGAGCAACTGTTAAACCGGCCATGCAAAGAAAATACCTTAAGTGAGTCCTGTCCCTTCCCAACCCACAAKAGAGACATAAGCTCACCAGAGACAACCACTCTGTTTTCAGAACGCCTAGATGGGGGGCCATAGCGGCCTCGGGGAGCTCCGCCACCTCCACCCCCGCCGCCGCCTCGGCCTGTACCACGGCCGCTTCGAGGAAACTCCACCCGCAGACGGTATCCATCGTAATCATAGCCGTCGCGACCATATACCGCGTCTTCCGCATCCCTGCATGATCACAGAAGGCAAAAAGGATGAGAAAAGAGACCCGCGGAAAAAAACTCCCTCGGTGGRGAATGAGAGGACCCCGGCACATGCGCACCCACCGTGGAAGAGCCCACATGCGCTGCATAATAGGACCGGCCCCTCCCCCACCCAGAAACACGCTAGGCGCCCGACCACTACACAGTCCTCGGCGCCTCAGTTTCCCGTTCCGGGCCTGCGCGTGAGCTCTGGGGGCGTCCAAGGCACCCAGCCACCAGGGACACCACACCGACTCGGCTCCGTGCTCGACTTCTGCAGGGGCGATATCGTGTCGCCCCAGCCTAAAAGCCCCTCCTTTCCCATTATGTTAAGGCCTCGGAGCCTTTCCCCAACTACTCCGACCTATTTCCTCAAGGCTGCAAGCCCCACGCTGCCTCACCGCGGGTCCTCGAACTCAACGAAGGCGAAGGGCGGTCCTCCACGGCGATTCTTGAGATCGATGTCGCGGATAGCGCCGTATTTGTAAAACACGTCCTCAATGTCCTTGGTCCGGATGTCTGGAGGTAAGTTACCCACGTAGATGCGGCAGTCGTTGTTCCCTGCAGGACCACGAATTACACCACCTCCCGACATGGCGGCGACGAAAAGCGCGGACTCGAGAACAGGCCTTCCCACCAAGCCTAGCGCACGGCAGAACGAGCCCGCAGCGGCACCACGTCTCCCGCGGCCCCTCCAAAATGGCGCCTTTATCAGCTCGGCGCACGGATATGGGGGGAGGGAGGAAGAGAAGCGGGAGGAAGCAGCTATTCGACCTCAATACGCACGCGCAAGAGCGTAACGGGTATCGGCGATACGCTCACGCACGCGCAACGTCACCCTCCGCACGAAGGGGAAAAAGTCCCCCGCGTTCCCGGCTTGCGGAGCGATTGGTTATTGGACTGAGCAGCCGTTTGTTGAAAAATATATACAGAAGCCTCGTGAAAGGTGTAATTAATCCCCGCCGGATCTTCAAGCAAGCCAGTTTCCCCAGGAGTGGTCCTCTTTGAAAGCCAATCTGCTCTCGGAAAGGCCTAGGTGAAACCTAGCCTGTAATCTCGTCCCACCATGCTTCGCGACATTAACGGCCTTTGGCGGGAAAGGCTCCGGGGGCGGGACCAAAGGGGGAGGGACCGGGCGGTTGCTCCGGAAACCAGGGTATCTCCGGATGTTTCTTCTAGTCCAGTAGCCGGGTTGTAAGTGATTCCATCAAAAGCCCTAACGGAGCCGTTCCTTGCCGCGCTTTCTGCGAATAGGTGGTGGTTACTTAGGAGTCCAGTTTAGATTTCTTTAAAAAATACACCGCTGATCCAACTTCGATTCAGAATTTATATGGCTCAGTTCAGCCGTCTTTCTAGTGGCAGTGGGTCGTACCCTGATTAGTCACTGGTGGCACTAACTAATCATACCGCTCTTCAGGACCCCAGACCCTGCTTCTCTCGGTAATTGTTTCTCGTTAATTGCCTGTTGCTGTTCCTATCGCAGAGGAGAAGCTTGGTGAATGCTTGCCCAGTGAGTTGTGCCTGCTGTCTTCCTCTTTTCTTTTCTTTTTTTTTTTTTTAGAGAGAGAGAGAGAATTTTTAATATTTATTTTTTAGTTTTTTTTTTGGCGGACACAACATCTTAGTTTGTATGTAGCTGAGGATCGAACCGGACCGCACGCATGCCAGGCGACCACGCTACCGCTTGAGCCACATCCCCAGCCCCTGTCTTCCTCTTTTCAAAGAACACAGAAAGAAAAGGGTGTGTGTGTGTGTGAATTCTGAAATTTATTCCTTTTTCAAAGTTTTCCCCTAAAACTTATATACAAGGGGATGCAGAAAGATCCTAAGTTCGAGGCCTGCCTCGCAACGTAGCGAGACCCCGTGTCGAAAAATAAAAAAAGAGCTGAAGGTACAGCTTGGTGGTACACCAAGTGCTCCTGGCCCCAGTATGACTGGAGGAGGGAGAGTGGGGAAAGAAGGAAGGAAGCTTATATACAAGAGTTTTCAAATGAACAACATGGATGTTTGAGAACTGCTACCATGGCACAGAACTGTGATCTTGTTTGCATTCTGGCTTAGGGAAATAAGAACTTTGCCTTTCTTCCAGAAACGTCTGAAATGTGGAATTTTATATGAAATTATGTGTTTGTTTCGTGCAGCGCTGGGGATTGGACCCAGGTCCTCGTGCATGAAATTGTGGGATTTTTAAATGTTGATATAATTAATTAAATTAAAAATAAAGTCCTGTAATTTTAAGTATACTAAAACAGATCTGCGCCTTAAGATGATTTTTTTCATATTGGTATTTACTTATAACTGCCAGACAGTCTCCCCAAGCATGTGAATCAGCTTACAGAGATAACACAAAAAGTTAAAACTTGATGAAGAAATCAGGAGAAAGGGGAAATGGGGTGGAGGGGATTTATTAAAATCTTTTGACTTCCTCTATAGAGATGGACTGCAAATTTGACTATTGTTATCCCAGAAGTAATAGTAAAGAAGGGAACATGAGTGTATTCAAAATACAAAGTGACTTTGAAGATAAATATGTTTTCAGGAGAATATATTTTCTATCCTTTTTTTTTTTTTTTTTTTGGCTGGGTGGTGGGGGGTACCTGGGATTGAACTCAGAGGCACTTGACTCAAGTCACTGAGCCACATCCCCAGACTTTTTTTTTTTTTTAATAAGTCAGGGTTCACTAAATTGCTGGAGGCCTCTCTCTAAGTTACTGMGGCTGGCTTGGAACTCTTGTCTTCCTGCCTCAGCCTCTTGAGTTTCTGGGATTACAGGTGTGGATGACTGTGCAGGACTCCAAGAAGAACATATTTTCTTAATTCTAAAACTGTTTAAAATGTATTTTACAATTATATCGCAGTGACGCCAAAATACAAATTCAAACTTGAAATGAGCAGGGATACTTAATATTGGGTCTGGATCCTCAACAGCCCTATAGAAGCCCTTGGATAATCCCTGAACTCTGTACTGATCTCCAAAATTATATGTATGTGCTGATGTACTTTATCCTGGAAAGAGGATTTGAAAATTTAATCAGCTCTTTAAAGAGATCTATAGATCTCTGAAAGGGACCTTTGACAATTTTAGGGGAAGGATAGATTATCTACCCTTCAGACCATCCTTAAGTGATATTTATGAGGCTGGACTTTAAAAAAAGGGCGGGGATGGGGGGGGGCTGGGGTTGTGGCTCAGTGGTGGAGCACTTGCCTAGTATGTGTGAGGCACTGGGTTGATTCTAAGCAATGCATATAAATAAATTAATAAGATAAAAAGGTCCATCAACATTTTATACACACGCACACAATTTCTTAAAATATAAGAAGCTGCCAAAAAAAAAAAGAGAGAGATACTATTTCAATAATCATTCACTTTCTAGCACTGTCCCATTCAGTTAGTGGCAGAAAAGATGAGATTTTAAAAAACAGTTTTAGCCACTCTTGTGTTGATTCCTTCATTCAGCGGTTACTTGCTAGGCACATTTTCTTTCTTTTTTTTTTAATCTTTTAATTGAGATTGATTATCTTCAGACTCCTGTTGATTCATGTTAAATCAATTATAACTGAAGTGATTTAAACATGGGTGCTTTTGATTTGAAACTATTTTCATTCCAGAAAAAGAGAATCATGAATTCACTGTGATAAATTATTTTCTAATTTAATGCATTCACTTATTATTTTGCTCACTTCAGAGGGATAACTTTATAATAGAGTAAGTAGGATATTCTTGTTTCTCTATTTGTGTCTCTATTTGAATGTAATGGTAGGATAGGCCCTGGAGTGGACAGTGAGGTCATTTGTGGCAGGAACAGTGGCTCTTTATCAGGGTCTCCCAGGATGATATTAGCTTGATAATTATTATAGTTAAGAATGTGATTTTATTGCTATCAGTACCTCAGAGTTGATTAACATGCTTGTAATCCAGCAACTTTGGAGGCAGGAGGATCCAAAGGTCAAGGCCAACTTCAGCAGCTTAATGAGAACCTAAACAACTTATACCCTGTCTCAAAAAATAAAAAGGGCTGGGACCAATCAACCTCAGAAACATAGTGAGGACCTAAGCAACTTAGCAAGGCCCTGTCTTAAAAAATAAAAAGGGCTGGGGATGTGATTCAGTGACAAAGCACCCCTAGGTTTAAAAAAAAAAAAAAAGTGTTGAAAGCAGATAAACTGGGAATCAGAACAAAATGAGGTGAATCATTTTGAGGGATATTTTGTTCAGATCATGGTGTGAGGCCCCAAAGCAATATAGCTCTCCAAGACAGAAAAACTAGTGCTCCGTGGATTTTGTGTCTGTTTCCTGGACAACACTGGGTAAAACTGGCAATTCTCACTCCACAGACTGATCTACATACTTTCTCTAAAGAGTGTACTAGATGATTGTTTGGGTTTTTACCAACTGAACTGCAGACACTTCCAGTTTTGCTTCCTGAGATTGCATTCACAATTAGAGTTTGGGCAGGAAGGGGGTTCTATACTCCTCAGTTATACCATGCACAAGCAGTTTTATGGATTGCTCCACAACCAACTTGATTATAAGATTTTAGGAGGTTTATTCTCAGAAGCTACCTTATTTTCAACATTGTTGCTATTTATGAAAAGTTACTTCCCCCAAAGGAAACATTTAAAATGCTTTCCATTCTATCTAGTATTTACTAGAGTCTGCACCATACTTTACTCTGGAAATGATTACTTGAGGCTGGGTGAGGGGTGGAGTTTAAAGAGTTATTTATTGTAAAGGTTGAAATCACAAGACCCAGTTTTCCAGCAATTTGCTTAACCCTGAAACCTTTATACTTGGGGTGATAATTACACAACTCTGAATATACTAAAAAATCAATGAATTGTATACTTAAAACAAGTAATTGTAAATTATAACTCAATAAAACTTTTTTGAAAATGTCTGTATCTCTACAATCAGCCAAATTGCTTCCCACTATCATTCCTGCAAAGGCATTACTGGGGATACACTGAAATACGGGTTTTCAAACTTGGAAATGCTGTTTTCAACTTTTTTTTTTTTGATGCCGGGATTGAATCCAGGGGTGCTTAACCACTGAGCCACATCCCAGTCATTTTTTATGTTTAGAGAACAGGTTCTTGCTGAGTTGCTGAAGCTGGCTTTGAACTCGAAATACTCCTGTCTCGGCTTCCCAAGCAATTGGGATTACAGGCATGTGCCTGTTATGCTCGAATTCAGGACCCCCAAAAGACCACCAGAGACCAAGATCAATGTAAGCAGCAAAGAGGTGTTTATTGCGAGCTACCTTGGTCCTCTGCGCGTGCACACAGCAACTGGTGACGCTGAAAGGCCTGAGCCCAGGGTTTGCAGCAGTTTTATACAGTCTTTGGGGAAGGCAAGGGACTTCACATACATCCTAGCATCTCTTAGCAAATCATCACATACCACGGGAAAATCATAAAACAACTCTATAAAACATGATTAGCACAGTCACTGGCGGGAACATGTTGGGTAAGGGTGATTGGTTAGTACAAGAGGGGGATTCGTTTGAACTGATTGGTTTAAGCCACGAGGGGAGTACTTGCTGAACTACATGGTTTCCCAACAAGTTATCAACCACCATAAACTACTGGGAGGGTCATCTGACATCCCAGGTATTTTCCCTGTCTCATGCTGATTGGGGGTTGCTAGGGGGTTGCTATGGATCCTCACCTAGTCTGACTGAGTCTGGGACACCTGGCTCTGAAGATCTCTCCTATTATTTGTAGATAAACAACTCAGCAGGGTG